CGGACCGGGACTATCTGCACCGGCCCAGCTACTGCGACGCCGCCTTCGCTCTGGAGCAGATTTCCAAGGTGCATTTCAAACTCTCCTCTCCTCCTACTCTCTCTTCCCTCCTCTTCCTCTTGGGGATCGCCCGGCCACACACACACACACACACACACACACACACTCGCTCACTCACACACACACACACACCTCTCCAGGAAAAGAAGCAGACAAGCGGGGATTGAAAAATTCAAACCCTCCCTCCGGTCCTGGGAGGAAAGGGCTGTCTGAGGTCCGCAGGGGGTGGAGGGTGTGTGTGTCTGTGCGCGCGCGCGCGCGCGTGTGTGTGTACACGCGCCCTCCCGGCGTGCCTTTTCCGGAGCACTGGAAAGCGGTCCGCAGTGGACCACCTCAAGGGCGGCCGCAGCGCGGCACTGCTCGGCGCCCCCTGTCTCCGAGCCCCCTCTTCCCGCGCCCCTGCCCCAATTTACAGCCCGAACCCCTGTAATGCTGCCACATTTCTTAACCTCTTGGAGGGGGAGGCGGAGTAGAGAGAGGCGGAGAGAAGGGGGGAGGGAGCCGAAATAAAGGTGGTTTCCTTTTTTGGCAGCCGGTTTTGCTTTTGTTGAGCAGGAAATCTCAGCTCCTTTAAAAATTATCCTTGGAAGAAGGCATCTCCCCTCTTTTTTCCCCAGTTTTTGAGCCAGTTCTCAGAGCCTTGGGGGAAAGGGAAAGTTGTAAACAAATTGCCACCTTAAATCCGCGGTCCCGGTTAGCGGAGCAGCCGGGTTCATTGTGTTTACGAGGCTCGTTGAAATGTGTGGAATCTGGGGAAGGCGAGCACCCAGACAGGGGCCTGCCGGGGCCGCGGCCACCGCCAGGAAAACGCCGCCGCCAGGAGCACCTCGCGCCCAGTCGGGACCCCAGTCTGCGCCGGCGTGGGCCCTTTCCCTGTGCACTCCGCTGCCTTTTACGTTTACGGAGAAGGGAAGGGAGAGGAGGGAAAGATCCATGTGGCTGCCCTCTTCCGAACACAAATATTGTCGTAAGTTGCAGATGGCTGCCCCACTTCCTAATTCAGCTCACACAGCGTCTCCCAATGCTATGGAAATGCGTCCGGAGTGAGCTCCCGTGGCCGCGCTCACCACGTGGATCCCTTACTACCACGCCGGGCGGGGGACAGAATGGGAAATTCCGCACTACATTGTTCCCCAAGCGCCCTAGTCCTCCAGTCCCTGTCCCCGCAGGGGCGCCCCCAAGAAAGGTGAAGAGTGGGGCAGGATTTGCGCGGAAGGGAGCCGAGCTTTGCTGGTTCTTAGATGTTGGGCTCCTTCGCAGAGATTACGCAGCCCCTCCCTTACCAGGTTCGGCGTGGCTATTGCCTGTGTTGAGTGATTCATCTTTCTGCCTCAACTTCCCCTTCCCCTGGTACTTGAATTCCCCTACCCCCCGCCAAGGCCGCTCATCGCAGTCGGGGACGCTGCGCAGGCCACGCGTGGGGGCGCCCCTGCTGTCGCCGAGGTTCAACTCCCAGGCTGCAGCCGGATTTTGATTTATGCCC